GGTTGGGTCCTTTAGTCACAGTGGCAAAAAAGCTGACTAAAACAAGGTGTGAAGATGGGTATGGTGGTGCATGCCTATAATCCCAGGTGGCTGAGGGAGGAGGATCATAAGTTTGAGCCCAGCCTCAATAACTTAAAAGTCTGTGTTTCAAAATTAAAAATAAAAGTGCTGGGAATGTAGAGCATCCCTGGATTCAATCCCCAGTACCAATCCCCTTTCCTCTGGGGGAAAAAAAAACAAGCATAAGCAGAACTTTAAGACACAAAATAAGTTGCATGAGGAAGTGGCCCAAAGGTCCATGGCCTTCTACTCTTTAACTATATTACTTCCTGTTGATCTTCCTGAACCTGTGGACTCAGGAAGTTTTATGACTATTGATGATGAAAAAAAACCAACAAAAATTTGGGTCTGATTTACAGATGACTTTGCATGGCATGCCACAATGTGCAAAAGTGAATGGGTGCAGCCTTACACACCCCTACTCTGGGACATTCCTGAAGGACAGTGATAAAGCAAATCCATTACTGCTATTGATGGGACATTTAGGTAGCTTCTAATTTGAAACTATGACAAATAATGCAGTCATATAAATATTCATATATATATTCTGATGCATACCCACCAGGTATGGAATTGCTGGGTCATGCATATATTCAACTATAGTAGATATTGACAATTTAATCAGCTTTAAATCACATATTTGGGTATGTTGTAAAGTAGCCCTCTAATATGAATTGGTGATCATCTGCTTCTAAGACGACAAAAAACTTCTGGTAATAATGCCTAAGAAATAAACTTGGATGCTAGGTGTAGTGAGAAAGCTAGGTATCAAAAGTTCAAGACCAACCTCAGCAACCCAGTGAGACCTGAGACCTGAAGCAACTTAGCCACACCCTGAGTCAAAATAAAAAATAAAAAGAGATTGGGGATATAACTTAGTGGTAAAGCACCTCTGGGTTCAATCCCCAGTAGAGAAAGAAGCCTAGATGTTGGGTTACTATAAGCTCTTTGGGGTCAGTGGCCATATACCAGATCCCTAGCACATACTAGGTACTCAATATTGAAAGAATCAAGAGGAGGGCTATAGTAACCTAAGTATTATTTATTATTTGCCAAGTTCTACTGTAACTGCCTTTGGTTATTTCTTCTAAAACTAAGCAGTTATAATTGATACGATAAGTAAACTGAAGCTTTTAGGGATCCAATGACTTCATCAAGATAATCCAGTTATTATAAACAGAACAATTGGGCTTGGAAACAAAGTGGGCTACAAAGAACACATCACCTGTTTTTTTACCTGCTAAAGTTATAAAGCTAGTCACAAATACATAGACTGAAACAAAAGCCAGTAACAAGATAAATGTCAATTACGTAGGAAGCAAATGACGTTAGATACAGAAAATGAAAAACCCCAAGATACATGTCCTGGGAAAAGGGAGTGAAAAAGAAAAGCATACATTGATAGTTTTCATCTCTTTCAAGATTAATCCTCTCCAGGTGGTGGTCACTGACTCCCAACCCCCAAACCCAAATTCCTGAGTACCCAAATTGACATACTCTCAGTATAACCTATATAATGATGGCTTCAAAGGTGGGGGGGGAGATGATTTTGAGAAACAAAAAAATTGTGGGCTAGACCTGAGAAAGGGAGAAGGGAAAGGCTCACTGAGACTGGAGGTCTAATAAGGAGAAAAGTCTCATGGCCAGTTCTCAGTAAAGCAAGCTATGATTTTTTTCCATGGATTAAAAAAAAATCACTTTCCCCCCTTCACCCTTTTAGTTTTTCCTCTTCTGTCTTTCCTCATTTAGAGAGAAATGTTTTTTTTTCCCCCTAAAGTATTGTACCAAAGATCCCCAAGACCAACCTCAAGCTGGCTCCAACTTGCCTTCTCTTACCTCAGCCTCCTGAGTTGCTGGGATTACAGGCAGACACCTCATGTGCCTGACCCAACTGATCCTTAACAAAGGTGCAGAAGCAATTCAATGGAAGAATTCATTAGAAGAATTCTTTTTCAAAAAATGGTGCTGGACATCCATAAGCCAGAAACAAAGATAAGCAAACAAAACACCCCACAGAACAAAAATGGAAAAATAAAACTCGAAATGCATCATGAGCTAAAATAGAAAATCTAGAACTTTAGGAAGAAAAAAAAATTGCTGGCACCTAAGGCTAGGCAAAGATCCTTAAAAACTGACATCAAAAGTTAAAGGAAACTAAAGGAAAATTTAATAATTTGGTTTTTCAAAATTTAAAACATTTGCTCTGTGAAGGACCCTGTAAGAGAATAAAATAACAAGCTGCAAATAGGGGAAAATATTTGCAAGCCATATATACAGAAGTATATCTAGAATATAGAAAGAATTCACCAAATCTCAACTGCTAAACAACAAATAGTCCAGTTAGATAAGAGCAAAAGTTATGAATGAACATTTTCTGACTGAAGTATACCCATTTATGGAAAGCCAACTGTGTCAGTCACTAGATCATTCATGCCCCATTTTACCTCCCATGCTCCCTCCCTCACAAGGTTCCTTATCTTTTAATCTTAATTATACCTCTCCCCCAAATTCTTATTGGCTGAATTTGTACTTTTGTTCTTACAAAAACAAATTTTAATGCTAGCACTTAAAAAGTTAAGATAGCAACTGTCAGGAGAGCAGGTTGTGTGTTTGGCAACTCATGAAGTGATGGAGTGTGTTGCAGGAGTCCATCCTGCAGAGTAGGCTGGGACATCAGATAGACTTTTTTTTCCTTAAAAGTGACTGAGGTTGTGACATAGTACAAGGAGAAATAACGGGCATGAAAGGATGGATTCCACACAAGCAAGCACAGATTTGCACTTGCTTTTCCCCCCATCCCCCTTTAAGTAGTCATCCACTCAACCTCAAAAAACTTTTTTGTTTTTTATTTTGGTACCAGGGACTGAACCCAAGAGCGCTTAACCACTGAACCACATCCTCAGTCCTCCCACCCTTTTTTAAAAATATATATTTTTTAGTTGTAGATGGACACAATACATTTATTTATTTATTTATTTTATGTGGTGCTGAGGATCGAACCTAGAGCCTCATACATGAAAGTCAAGCACTCCACCACTGAGTCACAATCCCAGTCCCTCAGTCCCTTTTTATTTTTATTTATTTATTTTTGAGACAGGGTCTCACTAAGTTGCTTAAGGTCTTGCTAAATTGCCAAAGCTGGCCTTGAACTTGCAGTCCTCTTGCCTCAGCCTCCTGAGTTGCTGGGATTACAGGCATATATCACCACACCTGGCCTCAACAAACTTTTAAAAACAACACAGACACTAAGCAACTGTCCCTTGCCTTTCCATCTAATCCTACCTTCAATAATTTAACCAAACATTCAATAAGTAACATATGCTATTAGATCCTGGGGAGTCTAGTTTCTGTTACATAGCAAATGTAATATAGGTACAACTGTGGAAAGACTTTTATTCCTCTCCCCACCCCAACTTAAGAATATATCTTACCAGATTCTAGCAAGTTTTACATATTTTGTCCCATATGACTGCATCTGTTTTTGTTCCAAAAGGGCATTTACCAATCCAATTGTTTGGCATCAGATTTTTCAGGGAAGGCTGACTTATTTATTTGGTCAGAAAAGAAGTATTTCTTGAGTTTTTAAAATTTTTATAGAGAGTGAAAGTGAGAGTACAAAATGTGCAAGCTCCTTGTGTCCCTTTTCCAGCAGGAAGGAACCAAAAGAGGCCATATGATTGCATCATATAGAGTCACTGGAATATTCTGTTGCCAAGGGGCTCATGTCATGCTGCAGATAAGCAGTTTTGTGGTTTGCAGTTTTACCTTTAATAGGGAGAGGTAGAAAGCCTCATTCCTCATCAAAGAAAACTCTCTCTTAACAGCTTCCATGATAGAGAGCTGAGTAAGAAATGGTTTTATAGCAGCTCTTCACAAAACCAACTATGTACCTGGTGCAGTGGCTATAATCCCAGCAACTTGGAAGGCTGAGGCAGAAGATTGCAAGTTTAAGGCTGGCCCCAGCAACTTAGCAAGAACCTGTCTCAAAATATAAACAGGGTTGGGAAGTGCCCTGGGCTCAATCCCCAATACTGCAAAAACAAACAGCAAAAATCAGCTCTGTGCTCTGAGTGTACTGTAAGGTTTATATCAGCTGGTGTTAAATCCTGGTCCATTGTGGCACATGTAAATTGCCAGAGAGCCATGGTGTAGACATTCCCCTGAAGAAAGGACTATTAAGTTGTATTTTAATCAGCATTTTGCTGCTGTGTTTATTTATTTATTTTTCTTCAACTGATATTTTATTTTCTTTTTATATTTATTTATTTTTTTAGTTCTCGGTGGACACAACATCTTTGTTTGTATGTGGTGCTGAGGATCGAACCCGGGCCGCACGCATGACAGGCGAGCGCGCTACCGCTTGAGCCACATCCCCAGCCCCATGCTGCTGTGTTTAAATGACCTGACCAGCATAACTGTAGAGAGGAAAAGTTTACTAGAGAGCTCAAGGTCTTATTAGTCCATAGAAGGCCAGCTCCATTCCACGGGGCAGCAGGTGAGGCTAAACCTCTTGGTGGAAGAATGTGGCAGAGGGAATCAGCTCACATAGTGATCAAGAAGCAGACTCCACTTGCCAGATATAAATATATACAAATATATACACCAAAGTCATGCCTCAATTCCCACCTCCTCCAGCCACACCCTACCACTTCAGTTATTACTCAGTTAATCTCTAGCAGGGGATTAAATCATTGATTGGGTTAAGACTCTTATAACCCAATCACTTCTCCTCTGAACTTTCTTGCATTGTCTTACACATGAGCTTTTGGGAGACACCTCATATCCAAACCATAACAAGTTGACAATAAAATGAGGACAGTCATGGAAAAAGTACCTTAGGTTAGGAAAGTGGAGTTTTCATGCTCTCCAAGGGAAGAGACTGCTTGTTCAACTTTTGATTCTTCATCAGCTGACCTAACACAAGCTGTAAAAGACATAACTTGCTTAGAAATATGGAAAATTTTTATTTCTGGAAATAGGAATGTGAACACTTTGGTCTTTAGCAGTAAGTGCCAGGCAATTTTTTGTTAATACAAAAGAACAAATAGAATTAGCCAATATTTAGAATCATTCATTCAACAAGATTCTGCTAGATGCTGAGGATGCACTGGATAATGGATAATGATGAGTCAGTCATTTGTCTCTCAGCCTCATGCCAGTCTTCTCTATCCTGAGGCTGTCAAACATCTTTCCCAGGACTGCCAAATGAAAAGAACTAGAAATCGAAAGTGGGGAACATGTTGAAAAGTTATCTTAGTTTTTATTTATTTTTTCTGAGGCACTGGGGATTGAAACCAGGGCTTTGTATGCTAGGAAAGAGCTTTACTACTGAATTATATCCTGGGACATTGGTCCTTTTCAGCCTTCATATTCAAACTGAAACAGTTTTCAGACTGGAACTCACACCACTGGCTTATTCACCTGGGTCTCCAATTTGTTACAATAAACATACACAATTAGATATACACATACATGTATTCTATTTCTCTGTAGATCCTTATATATATCTAGGAAGTCTGGAAATCATGCAATGCATTTTTTTCCCCCTGATACTGGCAATCAGAACCAAGGGTACTTTATCACTGAGCTACATCTCTACCCTTTTTCATTTTTTTGACAGGTCTTCTAAAGTGCCCAGGCTGGCCTTGAACTTATGATCTTTCTACCTCAGACTCCTGAGCTACTGGGATTACACACTTGCAACACCACACCCATCTCATATAATGCATTTTTACTGTTTTAATAAGTTACTCATTGGGCTGGGGATATAGCTTATTGGTAGAGTATATGCCTAGTAAACACTGGGTTCAATCTCCAGTACCACACTCCCCTCCACCCAAAAAGATCAAACAAAGTTAATATGGTTTATTTCTGTAATACAAATCATTTACATTAGGTCTTATTAGATTTGTGTCTGTTAGATCCCTGAAAACCCTGAAGTACCAAGTCTTAGAAACTGACATAAAAACATAGACCTGGATGGATCTGCAAAGGATTTTGGATAATGACTCAATTCCTAATGAACAAAATACACTTAGCAGAAGAGAATGTATCACAATGCCCAAATCTTAATTGCAAAAGATGATTAGAAAACCTTGCAGTATCTGAAGAATTCCAGAATCTTAGACTGATATAGAGATTGTTGGTGCCAGAATCCAAGTGAGAAATGTAAATAAATGCAGTAATGAATGCATGTTTCTATAATAAATGATGCACTAGCAAAATAATTGCAAGACTCCAGTCATCTGGAAATACTTTTGTAGAAACAACTCCATTTAAAATACACCTGGTAAATACCACTATAGAGCTGACTAAAAAAGTTTTCTCATTTAAATTCACAATACTGAAACCTTGACCATCATGAGAAGAAAAAGGAATGTTCTATGAGGTGTGTTTAAGGAAAAAGCAGATAACCTGATCAAGTAGATAACTTACGGTTAAAGTTCTCATCATAAATAATTAAGGAGCTGCTACTATGCAGTTGGGAATAAATATATAAGACCAAGCCTGTTGCACACTGATATTGGAGTTCTGAAACCATAAGTGATGAATGTTTTAAATATCTGGTGCAAATCCACTGACCTGGAGGAAATGCCTCAGGAGGGATAAGTTTTCTGCAATTTATTGTACAGTATGTGTTGGAAGGGAGAGAAGGCAGTATAGTATATCTATCTATAGCTTTGAGGGGATCTTGATTTAGGCCCAAGATAAACAATTGACAAAATCTAAGAAGCTAAGCCTTAAAAAATTTATCATTTTTAGCCAAGCGTGGTAGTGCATGCCTGTAATCCCAGCATCTCAGGAGGCTAAGGCAGGAAGATCACAAGTTCAAAGCCAGCCTCAGCAAAGGTTAAGCGCCAAGTAACTCAGTGAGACCCTGTCTCTAAATAAAATACCAAAAAAGGGCTGGGGATGTGGCTCAGTGGTGGAGTGCCCCTGAGTTCAATTTCTAGTACCCAAAAGAAAAAAAATTATCATTTTATTCTGACCTTATAACTAGATTTTCACACTACCTGAACAGAAAAGTTTTCTCCCACAAGAGTAGCAAAATTAACATCAGAGAAAAATTAAAGAATAAAATTTCACAGATGGCAAATATTCACAATGATTCAACAATAAGCCATTTAAGGCATTCTTACCTAGTCAGGTAAAGAAATGTAAATTCTATCATGGTAATCCCATCTTTATCCCTGCTCCGCCAATTCTATGTACTTGGCAGAAAATGTACTATATTGACTCAGAATCAATTCTTTAGATACAATCACAAAATGGCCTTAGTGTGAAGCTCCATAGAAATCTAGACAATATCAGATTTCAGAGCTATGTAGGTAATCTCACTGGTGCATTTAATAAATGTTTATTAGCACCTGTGTACAAGGCTCAGAGAAGGATGTAAGATCTCACAATCTGACCAAGCATCAAAGATTCATTATAGTAAAAAAGAATTGGTCAGGGAAGCAAGCCCCCAGATCACAATCATGCACACCCCCCCCCCAAAAAAAAATAGACATCATAAAGTGCTTGCTGAGAGCAATTAACCAGTTTGGAAATCAATTTAATTCCAAACAACTCTCCCATAGCTTCCTATAAATAAAGTTTCGTTCCAATAACCTTGTTAGAAAAAACTAAGTGGAATGTAGAAGATAATGTATCTCAGCCAGATTATATTTTCTAATACTTGATGATGTACTGGTAAATAAAACCCCAGCCTCAAACTTCTGTAACCAGTAAGGGCTCCAGGCTGGCTTCAGTTTAATGACAAATGAACTCCAACTTTAGTATGTACAGCACCGGTCACTAAGACAGAATTTTTTTTCCTACATGGCTTCTTTGATGTTGAACAAGGTATGAAGTTCGGGTGAAGCCTTTTCCACATGTATCACACTGATAGGGTTTCTCCCCAGTATGAATTTTTTGATGTTCAATAAGGCCTGTATTCTGAGTAAAACTTCTTTCACATTCATTACACTTATAAGACACAGGAGTTCCAACATTTTCCCACTGGCTTTCCATTCTACCTTGACCTTCCCAGTCAGGTTCCTGAATATTTCTTTCCCCAGTGTGGATCCTCTGATGTCTCAGGAGATGAGAACTCCGCCTAAAGGCCTTGCCACACATGTTGCACTGGTATGGCTTCTCCCCGGTATGAATTCTGTGATGTTCAAGGAGGCTGCAGCTCTGGCTGAAGGTTTTTCCACAGTCATCACACTCATAGGGCTTCTCCCCAGTGTGAGTTCTCTGGTGTTTGATTAGGTCTGAGCTGTGACTAAAGGCCTTGCCACATTTTTCACACTCATATGGCTTCTCACCAGTGTGAACTCTCTGATGAATGACAAGGGCAGAGCTTCCAACAAAGGCTTTGCCACACTCCTCACATTCATAGGGCTTCTCTCCAGTGTGGATTCTTCTGTGCTTACTCAGGCCTGAACTTTGAGCAAAACTTTTTCCACATTCATGGCAAATGTGTCGCCTACTCCCTGTGGCATTTTTCTGCTTTCTGTGTAATCTGGCCTCCTGTTCACTAGCTTCTGCATACGTAGGCATTTGGGCAACATCTTCACCCTGGTGGCATGGTATCTTCCCAGGATCTTGTTCTGGATGTTCCTCAGCTAGAGGCAAATCTCCAATCTTAGTCTGCATTTCACCAGCTGAAACAACAAAGGCCAACAACTGTCAATTGTGCTGTGCCATGGGAAGAAAGCTCTGTGATGAGTACCAGGAAACTAGCATTACAGAGGTCTATATGTGCCAAGGAAGAAGACTTAAGTGCAGGAATAAGGATAGAAATAAAGAGTGCTAGGGAAGGAGACCTGAGAATGAGAATGGGGCATTGGAAGATGGGTACAATTGGGAATGAAATGAGTGAAGAAAAGGTGGCCCAAGGACTGTGCCGTGGATACATGGGTTAGGGATGGTCTCTAAGCAGTAAGAATGGTAAGGGCAAGGCTATACATCTATTTTTTTTTTTTTTTTTGTGGTGCTGGGGATTGAACCCAGGACCTTGTGCATGTGAGGCAGGCACTCTACAAACTGAGCTATATCCCTAGCCCAGGGCTATACATCTAGAATTAGATACTGAAAAAACTAAGTGGATGTAACTCCATGATAGAGAACTTGCCTAGCATGTGTGAGGCACTGGGTTCAATCCTCAGCATCACATAAAAATAAATAAATAAAGGGTATTGGGTTCACCTACAACTAAAAACATTTAAAAAAATAAAAAAATAAAAAGCTGAGTGGAAGGCGACAATGAACAGGGTAAATGAAAGGATTTCTGAAGTGTTGAAATATCCAAAGTGGAGACTCATTAATTGGGCACTGACCAAAGACAAGGGCAGTTATCTTGGAATGTGCCCTAGGTAGAGATACAATTCCCAAATAGAACAGGCATCAGCACCAGGATATCTAAGTTGAAGCCCCAACTTGTCAGCTATAGACCTCTGACAAGTCAGATAACCCTTCAGGATCTGAAGTCAACATCTAAGGTAGCTTCTAACTCTCGTGCTCTATGACTCACGGCCCATTTCCTGAAAAGTCTCTGTCCTCTTAGTTAGGGATAGGAACAGGAAGGGAAGGAAAAGAAATCACCCTCCCCCTCACTGCTGGGGATCAAACCCATGACCTCATGCATGCTAGGCAAACATTCTATATTTGAGCTATACCACCAGCCACATTTGTTGGCATCTCCTATGAACCAGAATTGTAGTAGAGATTCTAGCCCCTTAAACCACTGACAAGGCAATAAAGAAGGTAAGTTAAGAAGGAATTAATAAGGGGCTGGGGTTGTGGCCCAGTGGTAGAGTACTTGCCTAGCATGTATGAGGCACTGGGTTCAATTCTCAATACCACATAAAAATAAACAAATAAAATAAAGATACTGTGTCCACCTACACCTAAAAAAATTTTTTTAAATCATATACACACACACACACACACACACATATACATACATACGTATACACACACACACACACACACATAAAGGATTAATGAGTTAAGTGTAGTAACAGGGTTTCAAAATGGTGGTTTTGAATCCAAACATAATGGGATCAATAGCTTCTACCAACCTAACAGAATTACAGGTTTTCTGATAAACAAAAGATGCCAAGGAACCTTGGGAGAAGTTAGTCAGGCTGTCACAGTTTTCCTGCCTTTCATCTCTGTAGAGATTCACCTGAGATGAATCCACCTGTGTCCACTCAGGGGTCAGAGTCAAGTCCACATCTTCTGTTTTCAGCATCCCCTATAGCAACAGAAGTGATTGACCAAACGCAGTAGGGAACATCTAGGAAGCATAGACAACTCCCCAAGTCACTAATTCATATCCCACCTAGGATATGAGTGGAGCATTTAGGGTCAGGACATTAGTGGGGTACATAGGGAGGGAATGCCCTAGGAAGTACAACAATAGTAAAAGGGATTGGGGGAAGATGAGGGGCTCTAGCTCACCCGGGACTCTAGAGTGAGCCTGGCAGCTAACACGGTGTCTTCTCTGTAGCTGTCTCCCTGGGCAACTAAGAAGGAAAGACACTCTGGATTAGATCTACCTTGGCAGTCAGACTTTCTGCCTTGTGGAATCCAAGGTCAAAACCTGGGTTAATAAATTTCTGCCAAACAAGTTTATACAGAGCATATACTTTTCCAAAGTGCCTGATCCCAACAGCTCCAATTCTAGGGCTAAAGACATCTGGTGTGCTCTGTATACATTTTAAAAAAGCATGCAAAAATTCAGGACCCTTGTAAGGAATAGCAAAATGAAAGGAACAACACCCCCCCACACACACACACCAAACACACATATACAAGCTTTCCATTGGAGGATCCTTTGAATTTTGTTAGGGAGGGGGGAAACAATGGGATTTTTGATTAGTAGCTGTGAGAGTGAATTCTGCTTTGGTTTTGAAAAACTAAGAGGAGTCAAATAAGGTTGGACCCAGAAAAGCAGAAATGGGACTCTGGTTCAAGAGACAGAACATGAAAAAGAACTTCAGGTTTCCTTATAGGAGGCAAACAGTAAAATGGGGGAAAACAGTTGGTTTAGGCTAGAACCTCTGTTGAGAAATAAAGATTGCACATTGTCTGATGTGTCCCAGTGTTGTGTGTCACAAGAACCTACACATGTTCAGGGAACTTGAGAGAACACCAGAGAGCATATATTTGTTTCCTCTGGAGTAAATTTCATGTTTTTTTTTTTTTTTTAAATAACAGACCCAGGGTTTAGAAAATTTAGAGCTTTTAATTTGTAATAGTCTTAAAACTGGGATATTTTGGCTGGCACTATAGATTTCTGTTTATTTTCTTCACAGGTCTTACTACTAAATTGTTTTATTAATTGTATATTTGCCATATTCTACAATAGAATGGAAACTCCATTGGCACAATGTTTGTCTCACTGATGGCGATATCCCCAGTGCCAACAACATTGGCTACAACATAAGAGTCCTCTGTAATTCACATGTTAAATGTATTTAGAGAAAATTCTTTCCATACCCAAATTTTAGTAACATCTTATTCATGATGCTGAGACTTGGAAAGATTTCCACAATTGTGTTTGCAATTTCCCTTTTAGTCTTAGTTTCAAAATAGGATTGATCAATGGCGAACAGGTAAATGGATCTTCTAGGTGAATCTTCAGTGAAACTGGATGAGATCTGTAGAATTCATACAGGTCAGAAGATAATACTCACCTCTATCTTGTAAGGGCTGGCATTGCAAAGATTCACACTTGAGCAGAGCCTTCACTGGAGGGACTTGGCTATTTTGTGACTCTAGGGTTGGTGTCAACAGTGCCACCTTGCAACGGAGCAATTCTTGCCCCTGGTCATCACCTGGGACCTAGAAGTCATTCATTTGTTTTTATTTTCATTTATTCATCAAATACTTCTATAGCACTTTTTATAAGCCTGGCACTGTATATAAAAGTACTATAAAATAACAACATGAATAGCTACCTTAAAAGGTACATACTATAATTTATCCTCATTTTTACTTATGAGGAAACTGAGACAGGTTAGCCCATGGTCACTTGGCTAATAAGTGACTAATAAGTGCTAAGATGAGAGTTCAGGCAGAATGGCACCAGAGTCATGTTCTTAAATCTATGTCCCTTCATTATATACATTTGTGCGTTTATCAAATGTATATAAGCACTTTGGAAACTGGTGAGACATTCTAAAAAAACAAACAAACTATTATCTGAAAAATGAGGATAATAATTTTTAGCTTGAAGAATTTTTGGAACAAGTAAGTAAGTTTACAGTATGTGAAATCAACCAACACAGGATCTGGCTGGCTAGTTTCTGGGCTGGGGTCGTGGTTCAGTGCTAGAGCAACTGCCTATCAGGCGTGAAGCACTGGGTTTGATTCTTAGCACTGCATAAAAATAAATAAAGTAAAAGGTATTGTGTTCATCTACAACTAAAAAAAAATTTTTAAATTATATTTTCTAAGTCACTCTCTTTGTATAACTCAGAAATTCCCACATCCTTTATAAATAAGTTAAGAGACTTGAAATGACTTTCTGTTATAGAGCTCAGTGCAATAGATCCAAGTCAAGAACTTTGGTCTCCTAGTCACTGGTTAAAAGGCTCTGGCCAAATGTTCTCTGAGGGAATGTGTACAAGGGCTCGGATAATGCAAAAATGAAACAGCCTCATAAAACAAGCCAGAAGATGGAGGTAAGAACCCATTTTCTACCAGAGGTTCAAAAGCAAAGGTCTATGGATTCCATACCAAATGGTCTATGAATTTGGACAGGAAAAAAATTAATCTTATTTTTTTTTTTACGAATCTCTAAGAAAAATGTAGTATTTACTTGAATTGTGAATGAAAGCAACAAACCAATGTGGTATAAGTAGTTGCAAGATTGTCCTCAACAGAAATTGCAGATTTTTCCCAGCAGAAAAATCTTCAAGCCCCGTCCTTAGATCTTATTAACTTAGTGCATTAATTTTTTTAAAAAGGCATATATACAGCTTCATCACAAATTTAATACTTTGCTAAATGTTTATCAATACAATGGAGTTGTTTTGTAATCCTTTATATTTTCCTTCATGTATTTAAAAATATTCTGAGAAGGGGTCCAGAATATTGCTAAACTGGTTCACAGCACAAAAAGTGATAGAACTCTTGATCTTAAAGGAATGACCCTCACTCTGATCTTCAGGAAGGAACAGACCACAGCTCTCAGATAATAAACCTGTTCTTTCTACCTGCAGTGTGGGCTCATCCAGCTGCTTTTCCAAATACTCCAACAGTACCACCACCTCCTCCCCACTCTCTGGATGCTGCTGCCGCACCCAGTTCTGCAGTTCCCTGGGCAGGATGGTCAGGAACTGCTCCAGCACCAGTAGCTCCAGGATTTGCTCTTTGCTGTGCATCTCAGGCCTCAGCCACTGTCGGCAGAGCTCTCGGAGCTGGCTCAGCACCTCTTTGGGTCCTGCTGTCTCAGGGTAGCAGAAAGCACGAAAGCGCTGGCGGCAGTGTTCCTTGCCCTGGTCGGGGCTGCAGGGCAAACTGGCTTCCTCTGCAAAGGCAGAGGCCTCTTCCTCCTCCACCTTTATGACCAGAAGCCCCATCTGGTCGTCTGCAGAGTGGTCATCCAGGGCTGTGCTTTCCCTCGACTCTCTAGCCATTCTTAGCCAAGGCAATATCGGCCTCACTGTAGCTGCAAGCTGTACTTTTGGAAATTCCTGTAAGGTGAAAATCTTTATTAGTTACTCAATTTGCTAAGAGTGCCCTCCTCTCATGCTCAGGTTCCTGGGGATGTTGCCTAGGAGCAGTTGCAGAGATTTCTCCCCCAGGTTCAAGTGCCTCTGCAGCTACATCCTCTGAACCACTCCAAACCTGAACCCCACATTAAGATCCTCAAAGGATGTCCTGGGAGTGGATGTGGACACCCTCCAAGGCACTCACTAATCCAGATATAAACTGATGCTGGAGCAACCAACTTTCAGCAAAGAGCAGGCTACTTTGGACTCTTGGAAGCTTCTCTCAGTGATTAGCTCAGAATGATCCCATTAGCAACCAGGTCTGTAGTTGACTGAATTTTAAGATGACCCTAAGGATTAGCTGTTCTAATTCCCAGGACTTTGAGTATGATGAGATATCATCTCAGATTTACCAGACTAATCAGGAGGAACTTAATTCTACCAATAACCTTAATGAGCTTTTAAGTGGCCTCTAAATAAGAGCTCAGCTCTACCAACATCTTGACTTTGGAAGACCCTAAACAGACAACTCAGTTGAGCCTCCCTGGCCTTCTGACCTCAGAACTGGGAATAATAAGTTTTAAGTTATAAATATCTGGCAAATTGCTATGTAGCAATAGGAAATAAATACTAGGTCCCTGTGGTCAAGGTGCTACATTTAGGAGGAGAAAGAAAAGATGGCAGGCTCTGTGGCAAAAGAAATAGAACTGAATTTTTTTCTCTGATTGTGAGGCTCGTCCAAACAACTGGTAGAAAATTAACTTACATTCAAATGAGAAAGTTGAATTTCCCCAGACCATGGGCACAGTGGCATACACCTGTAATTTCAGTGGCTCAGGAAGCTGAGGCAGGAGGATCTCAAGTTCAAAGCCAGCCTCAGCAACTTAGCAAGGCCCTAAGAAACTCAGTGAAATCCTGTTTCTAAATATAATATAAAAAGGGCTGGGGATGTGGTTCAGTGGTAAAGTGCCCCTGGGTTCATCTTCGTGAAAAAAAAAAAAAAAATTCCCCCAGACTTCTTTGAACTTTGCACTGGAGGATCTTCTGTTTCTCTAAGAAATATCAAAGAATATCACCAAGCTTTTGCTCTGAACATAGCAGTGGCTGCCCCGATCCTTGCCACTCCTTTAATCTGCCACTCTTTACTCCCCTTCAAGTCCAAACTTCTTAAAAGAAAGTCTTCCAGACTTGGACTCTGTTCCTAAGCTCCCACTTAGCCTTCAACACACTGTACACAGCAAACCAGGAAGAAAGCCATTAAAATTTCTCCTGCAGAAGTAACCAGGGATACTTCCTTCTGTTTCCATTTTTCATGGCTTTTTCTAAATCAACAAGGCTGATGCTGGTGTCTACTTCCAGAAACTCACTTTCCCTGGATTCAGGGACCTGAATTCTGTTCTGCTTTCATCCTTCCTGTCTCTTCCCAGCATTCTATCACAAGATGCACACTTTCAAGCCACGTTTCCTGAGTTCATAACCCGATTTGACCACCTACTAGTTAGGTGATCTTAGCAAACTACACATTTCTGTGTCTCACTTTCATTTTTAAGATATAGTAATAACAGACAAGGATTCTATGAACATCAAGTTTTTGAATAGTTTTTAGAACAGTGCCTAGTGTGTGCTGAGTACTATATTAATGTCAGCTAATGGTATAATTCGATGACTTTTCTCCTTTTAATTGAATGTGCTTTGGGTATTCTGTTCTTGACCTTTCTTTTCTCTTTCTTTTCTTAATTCTTGAATTACTTGTAGGATATTAACTCATATTTCTTAAGCTATTGATTTAATTTTTAAGTTAAAGAGTCTTGATATAAACAGGGTGTGGTGGCACATGCCTATAATCCCAGCTACTCAGGAGGCCAAGGCAAAAGCCAGTCTTGGCAATTTAGTGAGACCTTGTCTCAAAATAAATATATTTTTAAAAAGGAGCTGAAGGTCTAGCTCAGTAGTAGAGCTCTTTACCAGAATATAACCTAGGTTCAGTCACCTAGTTACCCCCCCTTCCTCCACAAATCTTGATTTCTATCTTGAGCTGCCTCCCAGACACTTCTACCTGGAAATTTTGCAAACAAACACAACTCATGCCCTGACCCAGGCTGATTTTCTTGCTGCCTCATCTATTCTTTCTCCAGTTAAATATTCCCTAGTACAGCAGCAACTAGTCACTAGGCTTCTTTAGAATTATTTGATTACCTCTAGTTGCTACAAGGATCACTTGTTCCAATCTATTCTACCCCTAGAATGTCTCTCAATCTATTCTCCCTGCTATCAGCATGGCTCAGGTCCTCATTTTTGTCTCTAGCCTAATTAAGTACTTTTAACCCACCCAGCTTCCTACATCTTTCAGGCTGCCACCAGAGAGTGCTCTCTAAAATACCTAACCAAGGCCTTCTCCTGCCTAAAATCACTAATGCTTTAATTCCAGATAAGCACCTATTTCTGATCACAACCAACTGGTGATCCTCTCTCCATAAATGAACTAAGAGACTATCTTGAATGGTCGGTCATGTAGGTGTCATTGTTCAGACCACTCAGCCAAAGGGGCCAGTGGGAGCTCAGATAGGGCTCAGACACTCGTGTCTTCCAGACTATGTACATTCAACAGAGGAATCTGTTTTTTAAAAAGGCATAAAGATACCCTGAATTTGCAAGAGCTCAGCAGCTACCCTACCAAACTTAACTATGCTCTTAATAAGTATTTTCCTACATGCTGCCATGTATCTTCAGAGTAAACAGCACTCAAGCCCAGAAGTCCAACTTACATGTCCCCTCCTTTCTGGACTCTTTTTCAACCCTCTTAAGTAAAATAAACTGCCTTCTTCCACAACACTTCCTTTCTCCTTTGCAAAATAAATTAAGAGAGCTTGTCCCTGGGACATTACAACACACAAACCAAACCACTTTGAGTTTTCGCTTTGGGATAGAATATTCAGAGTATCTTATTTTTTCCTTCCTAAAATACAGAAATCATCCATTACAAAGAGAACTGGTAAATGACACCAAAATTCAAAAAAGAAAGAAAAAACAGTAACAAAAGCCAGTCATTAACACTACTCACTGAAGACAATGTGCTGTTGTCATTAGAAATAACAAATAACAGCAGCCAATCTTTACATTGTGGTTACTCTGTACCTGGTACTTTAAAAAGCATCCTACCCACATTAGATCACTTCATCTTCACATTGACCCAGTGAGTTAGGTGATATCAATCCCCATTTTACGAAGCAGTAAAATAAGGTACAGAGAGGTTAAGGGACTGGTCCCAAATCACACAGCTAATAAGTGGTAGGGGTGGGATCCAACCAGGCAATACAACTCCAAAGTCCTGACTCGTTGACATAGTAACTTAAAGAACTGACCTTGTCTCCAGGACGAGTAAAAATTTAAGGGTTCCCGTTTTTCAATGCTTGTGTTGTCTGTGTGACCCACGAATCCTATTTCCAGACACCCTAAGGGACCACCCAGACACCCGGAAAAGGCACTGGATAAGGGAATCACAAAGCGCCTGGCGAAGGCACTCCCGACACCAGTTCTTAGGGCCAAGGAGCACCCTCCCCGCCCCCGCCAAGGCCTCCCCCAGGGTCTCCCTCTCCGCAGACTGCAAAGGCACTGCCAGGAAAGGACTCCTCTGTGCCTACTCGGGGACAAAAGAAGGGCAGGACTGGCAGGACAGCCACGGGTGAACTAAACCCACACAAGAAAGTGGGCGCCATATGGACGCCTCCCTTTCACCCCCATACTCACAAAAGTGTCCGAAACTAGCAAACCACCCGCAGGGCGGGCACAGAGGCCACTTCCGGGCCTCTCTAGCCACCTCCCGGACTGACACTCAGTCGTTTGCTGGCTCCCCTCCTCTTCGCCGCCCCTCTCTTCTCTTCTTGCTGTTAAAGAGACTTCAAAACATTTTCCGTCGATAACAAAGGAAAAAAATCACGCGCCGAACTCTGTATACAGTTTGCCACGTTTGGGAATAGAAGGGAGTAAAAAGAATTTAAATTATATTTGCTTTTATGGTCACAAAAAAAGCATAAGAAAATTCGTAAGAAAATTAATAATAGTGGTTACCTGTGAGAGGTGAAAGCTAGAAACTGTGAAAAGGGGAAAGGGTGTGAGGAAGAGTGTTACCATACCTTTATTAAATGTATTTTTAAGAGCTGTTTGCATTAATTAAAATATTAATTAAAAATACATAACAGTTTTAAGGAGCATGCCAAATGGTTTGCCTAGAAAATTCAAGGTAATCTAGCACTTAAATTATGGGGATTAATAAAAGGGGTTGGCAAAAGTTAAATTTTTAAAATATCGACATTCATAATTGCATTTCCCATCACCAGCACAAGTTAGGAAAAGTGATTTTTAAAAGACAACAATTACAGAAGCAAAGAAATAAAAAAAATGCTTTAATGGAAACATTATAAAGCTTTATTTATTAAGGATAAATAATTGAGATACATACCATATCTATGTATATTCGAACTAAATATATGACAATGTCATTTCTTCCTAAAATAATACATAAATTCAATGCAAAGCCAATAAAAATCCCAATAGTGTGTTCTGTGGAACTTGGCCTATTTTAAATTTCTATGGAATAATGAGAGAGTGAAGAAGATCAAAGAAATTTTTTTTTCAGTGAATGAAGGAGGTGCAGAAACTGTCTCTACTGGATATGTTAAGATTTTGGGGTGTGGGGAGCTGTACCAGGAATTGAACTCAGGGGCATTAGGCCACTGAGCCACATCCCCAGCCCTATTTTGTATTTGATTTAGAGACAGGGTCTCACTGAGTTGCTTAGCATCTCACTTTTGCTGAGGCTGGCTTTGATCCTCCTGCCTCAGCCTCTCTAGCCCCCTTTGCGGGGCCCATGTAAAGATTTATTGTAAATGTATAACAGTTAAAACAGTGTAGCAGCACAACGATAGTAACTAGATAATTTAAACAGAATTGGGGACTGAAAAACCAATGTATGTACAGATGCTCAATAAATAAGGAATGGCATTCAGAATCATTGTGGAAAGAAGGAGTTAACTTGGCAAATACTGTTGTAATTTGGATATCTAATGGGAAAATAAATAAAATTGGGTTTCTACTTCACACGTTGTACAAAAATCAATTTCAGTAAGCATAAAGACTTAAAAGTCAAAAAGAACTTTCACATTTTAAAAAGAATCTAGGATCATTTCTTTTTTTCTTTTTTTGGGGTGGTGGTGGCGGTGGTGGTGGTTAATGAGGATTTAACTCAGGGGCACTTTACCACTGAGCCATATTCCCAGACATTTACCCATCTTTTGTTTTTTAAATTTTGAGACAGGGTCTCTCTAACTTGCTGAGGCTGGCTTAGAACTTGTTATCCTCCTGTCTCAGCCTCCCAAGTTGCTGGAATTACAGACATGAAAGTCTCCACTTTCTTTTTAATAAAAGTAAAAGTGCATGATGCAGTAATTTCATCTTTACTTTAGAGAAGGTCTGTCATGTCCCAGATAACTGGAATATCTAAAACCTTCACTTGCATGGCTGGCACTTGAATCTTCACTGGGATATACTTCCTTCCTTCTGTAGCAAATACATTTTAACAAGACTTCCAACATAGTACATTTTGCTCCTGTGGTCTGTATAATTTATCATCCAATATTAGAAATGCCTGCTAGCTTATATCCCTTCTGACTATAATGTAATAGAGGGCAGGATAGCTGACATGGACCTTGGGAAACAACCAGAAATGTAAACTTTTGTCTGTCTTATGCTAATATGAATCATTTCTGTTTTTCCTTTCTAAAAGGATGTATAAGAATGCACTTATCAGATCAATGTGTATTATAGAACTGAGTTCATATTAATCTGTTTTAGAAAATATACCATATCTGGCATCATGGCTCCAACTGGGACTACTATTTTGTTGAGTTTTTGTTGGTTAACTGTCACTCCCTGGAATCTTTTTCTTTTCTTTTCTTTCTTTCTTTCTTTTTAAAACAGGGGCCAGGTTGGTGAGGTAAAGGAGAGGGATGCATTCTTTTACTTTTAAAGTTGCATTAACCTTTCCACACTCCTGCTGGGATTAATTTGTTATTGTTGTTGTTATTCTTTTGGCTGGAAAAAGGGCAGCAACTACCATTTGGTTTTCTCCAGTGTATTAACTCTTAACTCTAGCCAAAAAGATTAATGTAGGATTACTCCAAATCTGGAATTTGTCATTCCATTTTAAATTCAGAAATGAGTGAAGCAATTAACACAGATGTATGTGTGGTGGGGTGGAGATGTCTATAGACCCAATATGAGTCTTATCTAGACTAGAACTTCATTTCTTGTCTGATCCTCATCATATACACATTCTAACAGGGGCTACAATGACACTTTGGCACCTAGATATCAATATCAACTCAACTCAAACTTTGTGCAAGGTACTAAAAGCTGTATATTCCTCCTTTCCCCAAAGTACATCTAACTAAGTGTACTGGACTGTGGTTCCTGTGTGCAAGCTTGGGAAAATGTTCTACATCCTATCTATTTCAGTGTTACAGGGGCTTTCTTCCTGTGAACATAATTAGTGCTGAGAACTAGCTCTGGAACAGGAACCACTACCCTGTCTCTCTGCCTGGAAACAATTACTCAACCACAGAATAGGGAGTCTGAGCCCCTGTAAAGCATCACAATCTCACTAATGTGTGGAGACAGACATAAGAGTTCAGGGTTGCTGGAAGCAGTTGGAGTTTTGGGAGGTTAAAGTATAAAAAAAGAGGCAGTACAGATGGGGAAACTGAGAAGTTGGTTTGGAAGTTTCCTGTGCATCCTTGGCTGAGGGCTGAGTTGACCATACAAAGGACAAAATTCTAAAAGAAGCTGGGGGAAATGATGCATGCCTGTAATCCCAGTGGCTTGGTAGGATCCCTGAGTTCAAAGCCAGCCTCAGCAATAGTGAGGCGATAAGCAACTCAGTGAGACCCTGTCTCTAAATAAAATACACACACACACACACACAAAAAGGGCTGGGGATGTGGCTCAGTGGTTGAGTGCCCCTGAGTTCAATCCCCAGTAACTCCTCTCCCCCCAAAAGTCTAAATTCTGACTGTTACAGTGATGGATCAAAGGAGAACAAAGATCATACAAGTTGAGGATTTACTTCAGTCCTATATGAGTTCAAGCTCAGTAAAAGTGGAAAGACTGATAACATCAGGAGAGTTCAACTGTAACATGAAAGACTGTATCTTGCTAGAAATTGAACCCAGGAGTGCTCTGTCAACTAAGCTATATACCTAGCCCTTTAAATAAATAAATAAACATACATATACTTATTTAAAGGACTGGATATATATATATATATATATATATATATATATATATATATATATACGATCTATATGATTTATATATGGCCTATATTACATATATATGGTATAGATATAATTATGGTATATATACAATATATATAAAACTTATATAATTTATGTACATAATTATATATATATATATATATATATATATATATATATATATATATAAAATTTATTTTGAGATAGTGTCTGGCTAGGTTGTGCGGGCTGGCCTTGACCTTATGATCCTCTGCCTCAGCCTCTCAGCCTCCCAAGTGGCTGGGATCACAGGTATGTGCCACTAGGCATGGTTTAGACTTAATCTTATAAACTTTTTTTTTTTTTTTTGGTGAGCACATGCTTTTCCACTGAACTACGTAAGCATTTTCCATTCCCTACGTAAGCATTTTTGCATTAACAGCATCTTTTTCTTACCATTATCGAAAATTTGTACCATTATTTATCGAATCATTCTTTGATTGCTTCATATTTAGTTTATTTTTATTTTGTGCCATTATAATAATAGGTAATAAACAACTTTGTTATTTTTTTTAAAACAATTAAGATTTCTTTAGGGTAAGTTCTCAGAATTAGTTTTTTTTTTTTTTTTTTTTTAATTTTGAGTCAGGATCTCATTAGGTTGTTGAGGGCTGCCCTGAGTTGCTAAGAAGGCTGGTCTCGAATTTGTAATCCTCCTGCCTCAGCCTCCCAAGTTGCTGGATTACAGGCAAGTGCCACTATTACTAGCTTTAGTCAAAGTTTTGAATATTTTAAAGACTGAACTTAGTAAGAGTTGTATTTGATACATTTTTGAATTTCTGTTTGGTATGTGAAAACTCCCATTTCTACTTTTAATATATACTCTTAACCAATAGCAATATTAATTTTATATATATATATATATATATATATATATATACACACACACACACACACATACATATACACAAAAGTATACAATTTTTCTAATTTAAAATGACTGTATTCTTTGCCTTTGCTATTGTGTGTTTTTTTTTGTGTTAAGCAGCTGGGCATGGTGGCACGCACCTGTAATTTGAGGGGCTCAAGAAGCTGGGGCAGGAGGATCATAAATTCGAGGCTAGCTTCAGCAACTAAGTGAGGCCCTAAGCAATGTAGTGACACCCTGTCTGAAAATAAAAAAATGAAAAAGGCTGGGGATGTGACTCAGTGGTAGAGTGTCCCTGGGTTCAATCTCTAGTACCAAAAAAAGAAGTTATTCACAGAAAAAAAAAGATCATACCTTTTCCAGCCCTATCAAAAAACAAAAATAAAAACCTATAAGATAAAAACAACAACTACCCCAAACCCCCAAACAAGCAAATAAACAAACAAAAACATTCCTTAGGAGTAAAGGTGTATAAGTAAGGAGTATACCCTTGAGTAAGAGCCTCTCTATATCCAC